CACACCTCCATCTCCTACCGACCAACCTCATCCCGCCCCCTTGACCTGTCCGTCCTCCCTGGACTGACCTATCCCCTTCCTAACTCCCTACCTACACTCACCTTTCCTGGCTCCATCCCCGCCTCTTCGACCTGTTTGTTTCCTCTCCACCTATCCTCTCCTCTATCCCTCTTCTATCCGCCTCCCACTCTCTCCCTATTTATTTCAAAACCCCCTTCCTCTCCCCCATTTCTGATGAAGGGTCTCGGCCCGAAACGTCAGCCTCTCTGCTCCTATGATGCTGCTTGGCCTGTTGTGTTCATCCAGCCCTGCACCTTGTTGTCTCGGATTCTCCAGCATCTGCAGTTCCTACTATCTCTTTAATGAGTTGTTGAATTGTCACTGATCACTGAATAGTGATGCACTATCCCTGTTCATTCTTCTCAACCTTTTGGCACTTCCTATCGTGGTTAAGCACGCTAACCTCTTCCAGTACCTCTTACGTAGCTGGGTGGAAATGCCTTTCCTGATTGCGTTGTTATCCATGCAGCCATTACTGGAGAATGGCCTGCAATGGACTTTCTTTTCACTTCTGAATTGCTGTCTTTAATATCCTGTTTCCTCCTGCAACACCACCGGTTTCTCATCTACACATTGCCCACCTGGCATAGTTCAAAATATATTCCGATTCCATACGTTTTGTACATAGCGTATTTTAATCAATCTGTTAAGGCTAAGGTAGGGGCACTGAGTGTGCCACAAGAACACTCCATTCTATGTGTGCTGACAACATCCATCTTTGCCATGCTTTTACCTCTCCTGACATCTTCCAAGACCTCCAATTTCCCATAATATGGGATACGCAATAACATCTTCCAGTTAAATAAGTCATTGGTTTTGGTCCCTGTCATGAATTGCCTTCCCAAATAATTAACTCAATGTTTCTTCCATGCCACTGTTAAAGGCACAACCAGACAGCATGCAACCTCAGCATTCTGAATTGAAATTTCAATGCATGTCATTTCTGATAATGTTTATAATATCACTGGTCGTTATCCTACCTCAGTCAATCTGCTGATGAAATTCTCAATCATCCTTCTGTTACCTTCAATCTCCACTGGAGATGCTTGCCTGGTCAGCCTTTTTCCCTCGCCCACTGTGAACTTGAGCTTATTCAAGATGTTGGGACTGGAAGTCAGTTGAGAATTAAGTATTTACTTATGAGCCTTGCTACTCCAGTGATGATATTGGCTCCCAATTTGACAATGCCTTTTTCCTTTAATTTCTCATGCTTGTGTTCCTCTCCTCCACACTCTGTCCTCTCCCTCAGTCTGTAATGCCCTCGAGATATACAAGCCTCAAATCATTGAAGGATATTCCTGATTTTCATTGTCCCATCCTTGGCAACAATGCATTCAGTACCTAGACCCTAAACACTGGCATTTTCTCCTTAAACATCTGTTTCTACCCTTCCCTCCTTTTGAAAACACTTGTTAAAACATAGTTCTGGTTGGAGTTTTGGTCAACTCTCTGAATATCCTAGAAATTTGGTGTTAAATGTTGTCTGTGATACACTTTGGAACATTTTGGACTTTGAAGGCATTATGTTATGGAGCACATGATAGTTAATCTTTAATTTTTCTGAATTCACACAGTCTTGTCACACACTACAGTTGTTGGTGTTATGGTCAAAATTATTGCTGTAAACAGGATAGCTATATGCCTTCAGATAACATTTTAAAACTCTTTCCTATACTTTTACAGGATCCCTTGCAGCTGGACAGTATACATATCCCTTTCAATTTCTTCTTCCCGGTAAGCATAAAACTATGTATTCTGAACTGTTTAAATCTTGCTTTTGCAATTAAATTACTAAATGGTGAAAACCTTGTCTTGAAGTTCCAGTCGTGAAGGACGTTTAGCTCCTCCATATCTATGTACGTGCTGCTGCTGCTTTGGAACTGTCTACCAAAATTCCATTCATCTATCTTTTGCATGCTGTCTTTAGTATTTATGTTCTTCAATTCTTTTTCATGGTTATGATTTTTAGTTTGATAGACAGTAAAATATTTAAGAAACCAAGTTGTACTTTTACTATTTCTTCCTATGGCTGTGCAAATTTATTTACATTCTGAGAATTCTGCTTTGAAATGGGACTGTATCCTGCAAAACGTTTGCTTACTAAATTCCATAGATTTTATAAAATTTGTCCTGGAATGAGACATGTGTCATACCACAACAGTAGACAAACCTCTCAATCCTATCTTGGTCACTCAACAGCATGTATTCCCTAATTAAGGGCTAATCCTGTGTTTTTTTTCTTAATTTAATCTTGTGATGTGCCAGCTGTACCAGTGACGGGCTGAGCAATATACATTGTGCACATTGGCCTCACTGAACAAGATTGTTAATTGCTCCCTTTTATACCATTTAATCCTTCAAATTGAATTGACATTGCATGTATACATAGTAAACTCAATAGACCTTAGAATTGCAATTCTTGAATATTCCTTTTTGGAAAGCTTTTTTAATGGTTGGAACTGCATATATTTATTATTTTTCATGTAATTTCTCTCAATTTCCCCCTCACTAAACTGCCACTGGGACAGATTGTGTCATAATTCATAAGTTAGTTAATGCAGAAGAAACTGGGGTGGATAATGCATGTTTCAACAGGGATTATTGCATTGCTACGCCTATTGTTGCAAACACCGCTTGTGTTGCTCATGTAAAATAGCAGTATGAAACAGATAGCTTCACCCGTTTTATCAATCATTTGAGATACCTTACCCTTCCAGGTTGTCATTTCAGAACCAAAACTGATGACCTCAGGCTGTTCATGATTTTATGCGATGTGCAGCAAGAAATGATCTGATCAAGGTGGCCGTCATCCTGCAGGATGGCTTTTCCTGCTGTTACAGAATTAAAGGTGTGGTGAGCAGATATCTCCATTCCTAATTACAAGGCTGTCAACAAGATCAATATTATGTGGAGCTGTAGGAAATCCAACGTGTATTGAATAGGGAATGTCAGTTTGCGGTTCGACAGTGGTAGAGAATTACCCACATGCTGTAGTGATCTAGTTCAAGTACCATTGTGTGAATCAGTATTGATTGAACTTGTGAATTTAGGAACTTGCGCAGTTATGTTCAGTTTTAATGACACCACGTTTCTCCAAATTGATGGAGTTGCTAATGGATCGCTGGTAGGCCCAGCTCTCCTATTTTTGCTGGGTTCTACAAAAATTGTGTTTTTTTTTTAAATGGCCCCTAAACTCTTACACCTCATTTTTCTGATATTTGAATCCATGGTTCTTTTGTAAGAATTTTCATGCGTATCTTAGTACACTGTGCTCCATATTACGTTTGGAACAGACCAGTCGGATTAGCTCCCTTTCCTGAATGTCCCAGTTGAGAAATTGGTGGGGTTCTCTAGTTCTGCCTATTGTAAACCTGACATCACTCACTACACATGCATCGGGATTCCTACAGTTCCATGTATGAAAAGATTGGCGTTAATGGCAGCCTCTTATTAGGAACATAGCCATTTGTTTACTGTGCAAGCTGAAATAGCATATGCCAAAACCATCGTGTAGCATAATTGGCAACCTTGATCATATCATTTCTTGCTGTATATTGTGCAAAGTCTTGAACAGCCCTCAGGCCATCATGTTTGGTCCTGAAAAGTGCCCAGTCTCCCTTGGGGTAAAAGGCAAGGTGTCTCAAAACTTGATCGAAAGGGTGAGGCTAGCTGTTTCATGCTGCTACTAAGCAGCAGCAACAAGTGGTGTTCGTCACCAATAGAATGCTGCCAAAAAGATGTTCTGCTTATCAAACAAATGAGCATTTCTGATTATATCCAAACTCTATTTCGGGTTTACAAAACTCAACGCTCCATCCATCAATTATGCAATTGAACAAATTTGCTACGTAACCATTTGTTTGCAAAGAATTGTGTTCTCAGCCAGTCTGGGATTGTCAGTCAGGCTTGGAGTATGGTGCACCTCAGTGCACCATGGGCTGCATATATGACTATACAGGCTTGTTCTTTGCAGTCAGAATGTGTGCACATTGCATCTGTTTCAATGCAGCTAAATAGGTGACATTCATTTTTGCGTTCATTTCTCGAGAGCAATGCCTTGACCAAACTGAGTCAACCTGACTTGTATGAAATTTAAACAAAACTCTTTAGTCAACTGAAAGTCATTACTAAGTGGTGCATTCTCTGTGGCAATGCCTCTACCAAATTAGACTATTTGTCAAATTCCCCTCATACAGTGTAATTGTTTTCCTTTTTGTTTTGGTATTCTTGTGACTTGTCCTGTTGAGTGCAAGATGAAAAGTTTCAACAAAACTTCAGCAATACAGGTACTGAAGTTTACCAAATGACAATCTATAAATGTGTATTTATGTGTAAGGCATTGTAGTTAATTAGAACTGTAAGCCCTCAATAGCTGTGGAAAGCCTCTCAATTTGGTGCTGTAAAGCCAGCCACCAGCAAGAGACTTCTCTTTTTTAAAAAAAAGAATTCACATCAGTCTTCAGCCAGAAGTGATAAATGTGTGATCCATCTCCGCCTTCTCCAGAGTCCCAGCATCACAGAAGCCAGTCTTTGGTCAATTCGTTTCACTCCACAATAAACTGTTGAAGGCACTAGATACTGCAAAAGCTTTAGACCCTGACCACATTCTGGCAATAGCACAGAAGACTTATTCTCCAGAACTTGCCACACCAAGTTGTTCCACTATAGCTGCAACACCGGCATCTACATGACCATGAGGAAAATTACCCAGGTACATAGCACAAAGCAAAAGTAGGACAGATCCAAATCAACCTAATACTATACCAGCAGTCTTGAGATCATCAATAAATTTTTAAAAATGTTTTTAATTTCTCTACAGTTTGTAACTTTCACAACTCTCCTGCTGAAATTAAAGGTTTACTTTGATAATTCCTGCTTTAGAACATTTCCTGACAAGAAACATCTCTGCTTGTTGACATATCCTACTCTATTCACACTTTTCCAAGTGGTACTAGCTGCTCACAAGAAAACAGTGCCATTATTTTAGGAACATGTTGTAATACTGAAATTTGAAATTCCAGTTGAGGTTGAGATAACACCCAAATAAGAAGGCCTCAGAATCCCATTTTCCTATAATCCTATAATCTGAGACAAATCAAACCGGTAAGAAAATCTGTCTTGTTATTGCAAGTGTTCTGAGCTTTGTGCTCTCCACTATTTGTGTAAAAAGATATTAAGAGTCCGGAGATCAAAGGTAGGTACATGATGTTAGGTCATAATCAGCCGTGATCTCATTGATTGGGTTAAACTGAAGAAGCTAAATCGACTTCTCCTGTTGCTGTTGTCATGTTCTGTTCCATGACCAAGAGGTCAGCTGTTTCATTTGTTCCTTAGCTTGTAGCAGATTTCCTCCAGAATTTTAACTAATTTGCTGAATGCTTCTCTCTTGGGTAAACAAATTTTTCAGCAACATACAGTTGAGAATTGAAGGTAGCCGTCTGGGAAATTCTGGGGAGGATATGAACGCTGTTGTTCCAGTTTTGTCAATGAGCACACCAGTATTTAAAAACAAATAGGAGGTTGGAAGGACCTCCAAGGTAATACCTGAGACGTTGACTTCTCCTTTCCTCCAAGTGCTGCCTGGCTTGCTGTGTTCTTCCAGCCTTCTATTTGTCTACCTAGGATTCCAGCATCTGCAGGTTTTTTTTGTCTCTAGTGTTTAAAAACACTTGTTTATTTTCATATTGCAGTTACTTTGGAAATGAAGATAACATATATATAATTATTTAATTTGTATAACATTTTTCTTTCAAAGCAACTGCTCCCACCTCATTTGAAGGCCTTTTTGGGAAGATAAGCTATCGTGTCAAAGCTACAATAGAAACTGCACGATTCTCAAAAGACTATAAAACCGAAAAGGTGTTTTACATTCTTAATCTGCTGAACCTGAATGATATCAGTGATATTGAGGTAAATTGTTTGCTTTGCCATAAATTGCAACATTATCAATTCCATGTATTGTGCATGATTTTACTTAAATGCTGACATGAAGAAAAATGTTTGCATGCAATGAGTGGGTCAAATCTGGAATTCGTTAACCTGTACGTGTTAAAGGCAGGTTCAGTCGTGGCTTTTTGATGACTTGCTGAGTATTTTAGCAGAGTCAGCATGGGCATAACAGGACAAGTGGCCACATCCCATACTGACCTGTAAAAGGTTGTTCTCGTGAACAGTTTAAAGCAGATTTGCTTTTGTAATTTTTGCACAGTTCTGATCTTTAATATGAGCAAAGCTTGTACGTAGGGTTATGAAATGTAACTTATTTTTGAAATGGAGTAAATTGAAGTTGTTGCTTTTTAATACTAAGTACACTAAAGTCTAGCTGCTTACAATGCTGGAGCTCATGTCCTACAAAAATTCATCACACATTGACTCTTCTATGGTATACTTCTGCCAGACCTGCAAGTATTTCCAGCAGTATTTCTGTTTTTATTCCCAATGCTATGCTGACTCTAGTTAATAACATGTTTATTTTTAAGTTGAAGCTAGCTACACTGGCATCGCCAGGGCCTTTTTTACCTGGAGGTGCTTGGACAGCAGACGTTTAAGGAATGTTCAAATTCAATCTCATAAGATGTTGAAATGAACCACATAGTTCTCATCTACTCTAATAGCCAAGAAATTTTATACCTTTGCTTGATTTACTAGATGGCGTATGAGCACATCTTAATAAGAGATGTCAAGTGACCACCTTTGGCAATGAAATGCTTTGCAATTTCTTTTGAGGACTTTTTCTCAAAATACATTTTGGGCTTTATTTTGTTTGCAGCAACCAAATGTGATATCTGTGACCAAGAAGTTTAGCTACCTGATTGTCAAAAGTGGAGTCGTGGCTTTAACTGTGAGCACTAATCTTAAAGGATACATTTCAGGGCAGATCATACAGCTTACTACAGCCATCCAAAACAAGTCTGGGAAGGATATGGGTACTGTTGTCGCCAGTCTCATTCAGGTAATGTATAGATCTAAACATGCAGCACGAGGTTCTACAAATCTGAATTTTCAGTCACGATAGGCTGAAGCAACACTGCTAAAAGTAATACAACTACTCCATGCATTTGTGATTGCATTACGTTAATGAAAATGGCTCTATGCAAGAACATAATCTGGAATTTAATGTCTCAGACTGTATTGTGTATTATTCGTGAGTATAATTTTATTTTGTACAACAGATCCTGTTTATCACTTAGATTCTGAAAAGTGAACAGAAGCTGCCAGCAATAATAAACAATAATTTTACTTGGCAAACAAATAAGAATTTGGCTGATTAATTGCCTAGTTCAAATTTCAGTTACTTTGATTTATGGAAAGCTTTAGGTTTAAAAATAGTTTGCTAAACTTTTTTAGTATTTGTTGTTAAGTGTTTGTATTGTAATTTGTGAACATGATGCGGTGTACTGTCTGTATTCCTGCTTTAATAGCTTTTTCCCTGACCAAGTATCATTCTTGTGTGTTCTCAGAACATGTAAATTTTTTGGGCTGCTTTTGTTTCTTCAAGTAAGAAAATCAAATGATTTGTAGCTGGTTCCTAGCCTTGGAATCATAGGTCTACATTTCTGTGAGCAGACAGCGGCCAATTAACCCATGAGTCTTTGCCACTATTAGCCCGTGGCTAGGATATGTCTTTTGCGTCTAACAACTTTCTAAAGGGCTCGTTGTATGTTATAATGAAAAAAATGGAATTATGATAATTACTGTTGAAATGCTTAAGTCAATAAGTATTACCAATTTTAATACTTTAATCAAGTTGTAAAGACTATTCAATGGAAAATGCCCTTCCAAACTGGCTAATTTCTAGTTCTGCTTTTTGTTGTTTTTGTTCAACATTTATTATTGCTCAAATTTTGCAAATTTTCCAATTTTTCAAAATGCATTTGAACCTGTTATGCTTGAGTATATTTTTATCGCTGTTAACTTTGCTAAAATCAATTTAACAGTAAGATGTTCAACACATGTACGTAGCACTTAGGCAGTAAGTTAAGGACTGGTCCACTTAATAGAACAAATTCAAAGTGACCTGTAGCATGATATGCAATGAATGATTTCTATATAGAGTCGGTTCTACTATAACGCAGTAGTTGCATTCCTGCACAACATCGCATTATGGAAAATCGCGCTTTAGAAATGACAGGGCCGATGGGAAAAGCGGGGTTAGGGGCAGATTACAAAAAACATCACTCAAAATTGCTCAAAAGCCTAAAACAAAGGATACCACAGTTTGAATAAATGTTTAATTCCTATCTAATAATGAAATAAAAGTAAATTTAACACCTTGCCTTGAAAAAATGTCAAGATGACTTGATGGGGAGGAGGTTTTGAGATTGCTCTTGTTAATTCAGGAGCTGAGGGTCATCATCATCATCACTACCATCACCTTCAGGTGCAGTTGTGATTGCAGGGTTAGGGTGAAAAATAGTTAATCCAGAAGTCGCTGGCCGTCGTCATTGTCTTCTGACTGTCTTTAAGGCAACTCCCAAAAAACATCCAGGTTTTTCTGCTTTGCCCTTTTTCTTCTTTCATGAAGAAGCTGCTCATAGGGTGCCAAATAAGATCTTATTCCATGAAGTGCTACCATGCTTCATTCTGCATTGTAATCACTGTGCTGTAAGAGTTACAACTGCTTCTCGATTTCCCTCCAAATAGGAGACAAAACAGAAGTGGAAAGCTCTCATGGTGCTGCATCCTGGACGACTACATCTTCATCTTCAGCTTCCATATTCCCCTCAGCGACAAGTTGTTGAAATAAACTGTCGAGAGGTCTTCATAGTAGGACTCAAGCAGCTGTTCAACATCCTCACTCTCCACTTGCTTTGCAAGATCAGCCCAATGTTCTTTGATTCTTGGGAGCTCCTCTGATGGGTCAAAGCCTTTAAAATCTTGAAGAATCTGGGAGAAGCTTCTGCCAAACTGCATGCAAGCAGTCCTTACTGACCTCACCCCAGCCCTCCATGATAATGTCAATTGCATTCTTGATGTTAAAACTCTTCCAAAATTGAAGAACACTGTTCTTATCCCCCTCAGTGGCTGCAAACAGCCTTTTAGATATGCACGTTAAATAATAAGCTTTAAACGCTGCTATTGCATCCATGGGTTGGAGGAGAGAGGTTGTGCTTGGGGGTAAAAAGAAGTTAATGGTGGGAGAATGACTTGGCACATTATCCGGAATGAGGAGAATCTTATTAGCCAACACAAGTTGCCGTTTTAGAAATAGCATTCCCCTATTCATCAGTCGAGTTATAGCCAATTTGTGTTGCTGGAATATGCGTTATAGCAGAACCTGTTGTATTTTAATGTCACTTATTTTGGATTTTTAAAATTTTGAACTAGTAGCATATGGATTTAATTAATTTGTACATCGCTCTAGCTATGGTAATTACTTTTTGGGGAAAAATGTCAGTTTGTGGAAGTGAATGGTAATTTCTTTACATTGGAAGATTTTTATGAGCAAACTAAATAAACAGTTGTGCATTAAAGTTTCAGTTCAGACAGTCAGGGATTCATTTTTCTTTGATTATGGAAATACCCATAGTTTTTTGGTTTCAGTTTGGCAGTTTTTTTAGAACCTTGGCTGAAGGTCGGATGTGTAAAACATTGTCTCCTGAGAAAAGAAGACAATTTTTGTACTGTTACGTGTAAGAATTTTAGTATAAAAGCTCCAAATCAGAAATGGTTGGTTAAATCCCTAACGGGATTACTTGAAGCAGCAAAATTCTAAGCTTAGATGTAAGAAGCCTCCAGGAAGACGCTACCAGATTCTCAAGATAGTGATTTGAAGCTGTAGTTAAGTCCTGTGGATGTGAAAGAGAAGGAAATTCCCTCTGTGAGGACTGTAAAGCAGTGTTTTGGGGATTAAGGGGATTGTACTTCACAGGATGTTTGGAAATTTTAAAATTTGTTAAGTAAATAGTTCACTCATATTTTTCTTGTGTTTCATTGTTAAACCCGAATCTGCAGCATTAGTTTGTCTTTCACTGAAGTACAAACATGTTAAAACCAGCCAATATCTATCAAACCAGATTTCAGTCTTGAGTTTGATTTGTCCAGTGATAACATTAGTTGGGGATCATCAAGAGAATTTTCTGTTACATGATAGGCTCAGACTTTTGTGGAGCAGAATCCCAGGCCCAAAGGTAGACCTCCCAGGCTTGAGTAAGGCTGGATTCAGGAAACCCTAGTTAAAAATGGATTAGGGATAAGTCTTATTCTTCCTAGTTGCCTACTTTAGTGATGGCAGGGTTTCATTTGAGAGCTTTACACTTGGAAACACTGCTTGCACATCATAAGGCCTTGTAGATATTCTATTTGTTATTGCTATTTCTGCGAAAACTTGGTTTTCCTCAGGTTTTCCTTATTTTCATTACCTTAGAATGCTGTTCTAGAGTGCATTTGTAGGGAATTGGGTTGTAGTGTGCTTACTGCAGGCCTTTTCTCTTTTATATCCAACCATGACTGGTAATCCATATAATTATTTTAAGAAAAATGATGCGTATTGTCACAAATGAAGTGAGCATTACTCTACAAAACTCACTTGTTCACGTGAACGTGCAATTCTGTTCACTTAAAACATTTATTCTTTCCTGCTCGTCTGCCCCAATCATAATTGAGTTTTTTTGCTTTATTTCTCTTGGTCCATTTCTGGGTAAGAGGCAGTTCTTACCCAGAGACAATGACTATTGTTTTCAGTTTTAGGAAAGTATTCAGAATGTCAGGTTGTAAGCAGCTGCATTGTCCATTTCATTCCAAGATAGAAATACGGTCTAAAGAATAGCTGAATAATTTCAATCTGGACACCAGGCTCATGTGATTTATGATGCCTTGGGGCTTCATCTTGGAGGGGAAGTGTTTCCAGCGTACCCCTGACACTCCTGACATAGTGTGACCATATTTAGGGAGCAGCTAGAAATAAAAAGTCTACAGTTGACGGAGCAAGAATATGTGTGGCAGTTTGGATTGAAAGGGCAACATTTGTGAGGACTTCAGTTGAGACTGGAAGATGCATTTAACTTGTGTTGATGGGAGAATAGCCAGGAAAGCCCTCATTTTAAGGACCATTTTGCAGTTACAAGTTAACAGGATGTGAAATGAAAGGGACAGAAGTAAACCTTCTGGAGTTGAGAATCACCTTAGAGTGGATCCAGGAAAATTTTAAGAGACTACTTAAAGGACACTGTAGAAGTGAGTTTCTGGTTTGCTAAAAGTAGAAGAAAAATTTCTGATCTTTAGTTGGGAGTACAAGTTACCTACATAATAACATAGTACTGCTTTGGCCTGATGGTTACATTTAAAGGCTTGAAAATGAGAAAATTTGTCACTTTTTAGCTATCAACTGGAAGTTCAACCTTTTCAGAAGTTTTCAGAACACTGTTTTGACATTTTGTTACAGAAAGTTACCTATAAATCCAAGCGGTTAATCTATGACTTGCGGACAATTGCAGAAGTTGAAGGGTCCGGGGTAAAATCGTGGAAACATGCTGAATGGAAGGAGCAGATCATCGTACCAGCCTTGCCTCAGTCATCTCTACATGGTTGCAACTTAATACAAATAGATTATTTTATTCAGGTGAGAATGAAAATTAAGTATCTCTAAATTAGAAAAAGAACACCATCGCCTACAAATTCCCCTCCAAGCCACTCACCATCCTGACTTGGAAATATATTGATGTTCCTTCACTGTCGCTGAGTCAAAATCCTGGAACTCCCTCCCTAAATGCCACTGTGGGTCAACCCACAGCAGGTGGACTGCAGCAGTTCAAGAAGGCAGCTCATCACTTCCTTCTCAAGGGCAACTAGGAATGGGCAATAAATGCAACAAAAGTGATGCCCGCAACCCACAAAATGAATGAATGAATTTTAAAAAAAAAAAAAACAGGAATTTGGCTACCTAAGAGTTTTTCCTCTGTGCCTCCAAACAAAACACTGCAACACTCTGCTCCTATGATGCTGCTTGGCCTGCTGTGTTCATCCAGCCCCGCACCTTGTTATCTCTTTAAACACTTATTTGTTAGCTTTGGCAATAGTTGCTGAAACACAATATTATAACTTATGGTAGGTTCGAGCTTTGGCCCTCTAGGAAAAATTGGTATTTACATGACCCCTTTAATGTAGTAAAACATCTCATTGCAATTCATGAGAATTAAGCAGACAAAATTGACATCATGCAAGTGGGGGAAACAATTGGACAGATGCTTGGTCAAAGAGTAAGGGTTTAACCTGTGTGTTGAGGAAGAGAAGTAAAGAAGCAGAGAGTTTTGGGGAGGAAATTGGAGCTTGTAATCTAGATAGCTGAAGACAAGGCCACCTTGTCTAAAGTGAAAGAGATGAGGACAGCAAAAGAAACCAGAGTTAGGGGAATACAGCATCTTGTAGGCTTTTATAGGGATCATGGAGAAGAATTTTAAAACTATGACTTTGAACTGTGAACCAACGTACATTGTTTTTCTTAATATCACTTTCTCCCCAATTAACAATGTTACTCATCCTGAGCATTGACCAGCTGTTCCCTAAGTGCTGACACTTGTCCTGTCAGCGGCTATTAACTATCCCTTCTAAGTCCTCTTGTACCGAAATTAGTCACTTGCCTATCCTTCTGATCTAGTACCATTCAGTCTCCTAGACTGATATAAACTTGATTCCTCCACCCCTAAACAGCTTATCCTCCAACCTTGCATCACTGGTGCCATAAAACATCCAATAAATAGTCGTATGAAAACTAACAATTGCTTATGTATGATGAAGTGAGTATCTTTACATATGGGAAATCCTGATTTGTCTCACCTGATTAACTTGAGTGAGGCAACTTTGTTTAGTATGCCTTGTTCACAGTAGTTTATATCAGCCTCCAGCGTATCATTCTCCGCCACTTCTGCCATCTACAATCCAACCCCATGACCATAGAGATATTTCCCTCCCCACCCCTACCTGCCTTTCATAGGGACTGTTCAATCCTCAACTCCCTTGTCCGCTCCATGCTCCCCACTAACCGCACCACACCTGGCACCTTTCCCTGTAACCACAGGAAGTACTATGCCTACCCATACACCTCCACCCTCCCCTCCATCCAAGGCCCAAAGCAAACCTTTCGTATCTGACAGGGGTTAACCCGTACATCCTCCAACTTGGTCTACTGCATCCATTGCTCCCAGTGTGGCCTCCTCTACATCAGTGAGACCAAGCGTCGACTCCGGAACCGTTTCGAGGAGCATCTGCGTTCTGTGCACGATAAATGACAGCACCTTCCAGTTGCCATTTTAACTCTCCCTCCCACTCCTTGGGTGACATGTCCACCCTGAGCCACCTCCAGTGCCACAACAACACCACACACAAACTGAAGGAGCAACACCTCATTCCGCCTTGGGAGCCTACAGCTCGATGGCCTTAATATAGAATTCACCAGTTTAAAAATCTCCCCACTCCGGCCTCATTCCACGTCCAACTCTCCCTCTCATTCCTACCTCCTTGATCTGACACAACCTGTCCAGCTTCTCTCCCACCTACCCGCCCCACCCATCCCACTGACCAATCCCTCCGCCACTGCCTACATGTACTGACCTATCACTTTCCCCAGCCCCAACCCTCCCCCCTCTCTATTTATTTCTGAGCTCCCTTCCTCCCCCTCCCCATTTCTGAAGAAGAGTCCTGACCCGACCGTCAGCTTTCCAGCTCCTCTGGTGCCTGGCCTGCTGTGTTCCTCCACTGTGTTGTCTCTGGAAATAGATGTAGTATTTTATTGCCTCTAACTTAGTTTTACACCAGGAAGTAGTATGTTGCTTCCTGAGGCTCTTTTAGAATTTAGATGCTTACCTACTTTTAGAAATATAGTATTATACAAAAAGATTTTCACATTTTCAATGATTGTGGAAAATCTGAAGTAAAGTAACAACATTTTTTGTGTTTTAACAGGTTTCTATCCGATCGCCAGAGGTTTTGGTCAGCTTACCGATCTATATTGGGAATATTGCTGTGAATAGTCCACCGCTGACACCATCCAGGCAATCACAACTTGCTCAACCCACAGTGATCCCCACAGCTCCTCCAGCTGAAGATATTGGGGCTACTGGTTATCAGCCCATGGACAGTATAATTCTTCCAACCAAAAGCCACTCTCAGCAGCAGACATTATCACCTCATACCTATAGCCAAGCATCTGGCTTTGAAAGCAATACTTGTGAGCAGCTTCCTGGTCCCATGCTTTGTATTTCAACTGGTGCTACAGTCCCTTACTATGCAGATGGACCTGTTGTTGCAGATCTTAGTGAAAATCCTCTGATTTTACCTCCTGAATATAGTTCATGGGGCTATCCATATGGTATGTTTTCTGCTTTTATTGATAGTTCTGAAATGTAGAGCTCGTTCAAGATTATTTATGTTTTCCTTTATATTTAAACTAGTAGCAATATCTTACAAGTAAATGCAACTCTGGTTACAGATGTCCTATTTCAACATTCGTATTTTATTTTCAAGGTTTCTAATGATTTGCAAGAGAGAATCTTGCTAAACAAAAACACACCAACTGTTTGCACAATGTGATTTGTCTTTTTGTCTTTTAATAGATCCTCCCCCAACATATGAAGAGAGTTGCAGCAGTGCTAACTCTAGCATGAGCACAGGACAGTAATATGCTGCAGACTATCAAGAGTTAGTACTGTTCATGTACTGAAATGCCTTTTAGTTATGTTTTACTGGAAAACAAAAACTTTACACATACAGCCTGAAAATGTGTTCTGATGTTGAAGAAGCTGAAAATTCATTATCAAAATGCATTATCAAGGACCACAGATACTTCTACAGCTTGGAATGCTCTGCACAAACTACCTATTTACTATGCCCATACTGGACTGTATTAATCTGTGTTCTCTTTTCTTATTGATCCTTGCTTTTGGGACACTGAGTACCGAAGGATATAGATATCAATGTTAAATGCTTCCAGCTGTGTATATAAATAATAAATGCATATTTACTCTTGTTAAACAGCTCCACCTTATAACTGTGAATTGTGAAAGACTTTCTGAAATCAGTCTAGTTTCTGTGGAGCAAGCTGGAAGCTTTAAGGTACTTCTGAGCCTTAAGAACCAAGGTGCAATGATAATACTCCTTAATGGTTGTTCAAGTAGAAAAAGAGGTTCCATTACAAGTGGTCTTTCTGTAGTGGAATATCAGACTCAATTGTAATCAAGCTTGAGCCTACTTCAGTACATTTTGTACTTATTTGTGTATTGGTTACATAGATCACAGGCTTGATGGCCAAGTTTGAGTATGCTGACCTTTTTAAAGAACTGATACTAACCAGAACAGTTTAGCAATCCTTTCACTTTGAAGTGTTGAGTTGCACACCTTTCTTATTTGTTTCATGAGAGAGTTGTCTATATATACAGTATTTATTATGTTAGTATGTTTTGGAAAATTGTGGCATGCTCTTTAAGCTAGCACATGAAAATGACCAGTTCGAAATCCTGTATGATTATTTCACAATTACAACTTGAGCCTTATTAAAATCAAGTCAAAGCCAACCACTCACTAAAATTACTTAACATAATGCAATTTTCTACTACTGTATTTGATAACATTCAGGATTAAAGCTTTATGTGCAGAGTTTAAAGAGGTGCTGAATGACTTTGTTTAACCTCCATAAGCACAGGTTTAGTATGGGAGGATATTTGAATGACACAGGTTGGATTTTACAGTGAAAGTAGATGGTTTCTCTGGAACTACAGTGGTCTAAATATTGAAAAAAAGTACATAAGGCTGAGAATCCTAGCAACAAATGCTTCATGTTAATGTATGAAGTCTGGTTTTGCATAAACCCTAAATGGATGCAATTCCTATCAAAATTCTTGATGAGCCTACATGCTGCAATGCTGCCAGAAGTACTGGCTGCAGGCTGCTTCCCTTGCTATGAACAAGAACTTCCACCTGTACTCGGGATAACTTGTTTACAAAAGCATTTTGGCTTATGAGGGAGTGAATGTGGAGTAGGCACAGGAGGAAACTTGACTGTTAAGCCTTTTAGAAGTTCCCAACACACCCTTGTTTTGCAGGAAGAGTGGATGGAAGTAGGGTGATGAACTGAATCTGAAAAGTTTATTTGTCCACCACCATGTTGCCCTTTTAGCTTAATTCAAGTTAAACAGCATACTAGGTTCTTAAAAAAGGCAAAATTCATCAACACTGCTTTTTATTGATGTCCAAATGACACTTGATGCTAGGGTTCAAGCTAGCTGATATACTGCTGCTACTGGTGTGGAATTTTAATTTTATTATGGGAACAGGTTTATTCATTGAAGTATATTTTCATTTCAAAAGATAGTGAGGCTGGAACAAAACTTCAGCTTAAATTAATTTGCTTATATTTTGTATGGACAGTATAGGAATAAAGGGAATCATGAGAGTTTTCTGTTACTTGCTGTGCCGCCCATAAGTTCCAACCCCCTCGACCATGTTATTTCAAATATTTTGTCCTATTGTATGTATGTATAAGTTAAAATTTATAAAGAAAAATTGTCTAACACAGTGCGCAAGCTGACTAAAGACCATTGTTCCAAGGGTTGCTTGGAAATTTGCACAGCATTTTGAATTGTATGGAAATTACTGAAACCTGTTGAACAAATTTCACCCACTGATTCTGCATCCCCAGAGTGATTACATATATAGTGAAAGCCTTCAGTATACTGGCAAACAACGGTTTCAACATTTAGTGAAGTCCTTTCAAGTTTTAAAAATCAGTTTTTTAAAATATTACTTCAAGATTTGGACAGTATTTCACAAAATGCATCTGACTGCTAATTTGTGAATTATTAAGCACATCTTGTATATTGCACTAATGTGAGCATCACAGCCTGATTTAGAACAGCAGACATAACTTCGGGCATTATTCAAACAAATATGTAGTGTTTCAGTACACTGTGTCATGGAGTAACTGGATATAAGTTTGTGTTCTGCATTTGAGTTCTCAAGTGGTTTAGAGCAATAGCTCGCTAGCTTGTGTCCCACAAGAAAGGAAAAATATTGGCTGTGGATTATGCAACAGAGTCTTGCGTACTTTCTACCATCGAGATATCCAGCAGCAGTGGCTGATGCTTGAATGAATGTCAGCTTGGCTGAACCTGATCAGGGATAGTGCACACGGTGAGAGACCTGTGAGGATTGTTTCTCCTCTATTGGTACGAATCTAATGAACTAATGTCATTGGCCACTTAACGGATGCAGTTGTTGTGTTTTCTTTTTATTTTTGTGATAGAGCAATAGTTGACTGGTGGTAACTTTTATGCTCAGCTGATCTAATAGAATTGCAAAACAGTAGGTTTAGTGTTTTTAATGCATATTTTGTTAGAAAAACTCAGGGCTTGAATATCTTAATGTAAACTATAGAAAAATGAAATATGCAGAATTCCACTTGCTCTGCTCTTAACTAGCTGTAGGAACAAAATGGTTTTGTGCTTGCTATGATGAATAAACTGTCTAGGCATAAGTTTGAGAAGGCTCGAGGAAAAATAAATGAGTCACATTACTAAATATAGCTAACTTAGAGTGAAGGCTTTGTCATTTTAAATTGAAATACATTTATCTCTGAAGACCAAAGTTGTTTAAATATGTTAGTGCTTAGACTTTTCCTAATGTAACATCAATCTAGCCATTATTGAACCTTGAAAATGTGAACTAATCTGCAGTACCATGTTTTCTGAAATATCTTCAAAGTAATGAAGTATGCTCAACTGGATTTAAAAATATTGTCCAGAATACATTGCAGCAAAGAGTGAGAGAAGTTGAGATGATTCTGCAGTATGAAAGAATAGATTCTTTTCAGGGTCAGAATAAGACCTTAGCAAGGCAGGGGCATTCTCACAACTGGATAAAGGCTTATCATTCTCTTCCATCCATTGAAATAAAACAATTCTGTGTGCCCATTTGCAATTGGGCGTTCCGTCCTGGAAAGCTATTGTGCTCTGGTTCTGAAGTGGAAAATCTGTCTTTAACTGTATAAATGCTGTTTTCCCCTTTTGGATTGATCTTCAACGACAGGATGGTGTGTGCATTCATTCCATTGTCTTCAGCTTGCCAGCTCCCTCAATATCTTAAATTGGAAATAATATCCTACATGAAGGATGGGAATGAAGTAACTCTGAGGATGATGAATTTCAAAGTTAGAAAGTCTGAGACTCGTTGTTTGCACATAGAGCTTCGTGGTGCTAAAGAATTGTTGAAATTTGTACCAGCCATTTAAAAAGGAGAAGGTTGAATTCTGTAACTCCAAACTGTTTTACTGCAGTCCAGTATCTAAGAATATTGTTTAAAGTTGTAACCTGTTACTGATATCGTGTGCCTTTTTGTAGAATTTGGGATGCTAAAAGTTAATATTTCATTTTAACAGGAGCATTCCCCTCATGCTTATGCTGCCTCATTAAGAACTACAAATTAATAAGGATTGTCATGTACAACTTGTCCAAATATCCTTATCTTATTCTGTATTTTTGACATTGTTAAAACTAGAGAATTTCTGCTTTGCCCAGTATCTTCACTCCTGTTAGGATATTAACTTTGAGAGCCCTCAATCACGAATTTTAAACTTGTTTAATTAGGTGTTATTAATTATTGTCTTATGCACTGGAGGAAGTTTTCTTGCCTTACCAATATAATGTAGTCTGATTCTACTTACAAATTTCTTAAATCATGCAATTGTTTTACTTCACTATTCCATTTAAAGCAAATATGGTGATTAACTAAGCCTATGATATGTTCCTGGCTGAAATAAACAAGCATTTGCCTTTTCCAAAGTTAGGGTTAGTACTGAATCTAGGTTTTGAAATAGTTGCTCTTGGAAAAGTGCACTTCCTTGAAAATAGAAAGAAAATGTTATGCCAAAAATGTTCGTGCCTCCATCGACAGCGCCGGTATTTTGATTGGCAATTATCCTGATAAACAATCCTCTAAGACACAAAATTGCTTCTCAGTATTGGTGTGAATCAGTAAAGTACCAAAAATTATATTTTTAAAACTGTTTAATGTGCTCTGGTTTGTATAGAATTACATTGCCTATGTTTTTCTGTGCTTTGTGATTAGTTCTTTTTAAGGTACTTATGTTGAGGATTTCGGATTTTTAATACCAAATTTCTTCTTAAAAGGCATCTTGATTACTTCATTTAATCTTGATATACAAGTGCTTTTTCAATACTTGTCTTTTAAAGTAAAAGTACTGTCTATGTAGACTTTGCGCAAGCAAAGTGTAGAGATCTGAACTGAATTGTTACTTGCATTTTTCAGTTTGCTGCTAAAGCGTTTTTACATCAGTTACCCCAATTAATTTTATTGGATTTTTCTCCACTTCCTTTCTCTATCTTACGATAACCAAGAATTTTATTTTTTAGAATTCATGAATCATTGTGTATTAAGAGGTGGGCCAGCAACTGGAGGGACTTGATTTGTTTGGAAAATGTGATAATTCCCTCAGTACTTAAGTACTTAATACTATTTGTTTTGAAAACAAATATTGAGAATTAACCTTTCCAACTATGTGGATTTCAAATGTTCAGTTGCATTAAATGTGTATAACAGTCATGCTGCATTTAGACAGACAATGGTTTTAAACAATACAGATGCAGATTATTGGTTTGTAGCTTTGACTACTTTCACATTTTTCATGTAGAAGTTGCTTTTCCTTCTGAATATTTCATAGAATGTATTCAAGTTATTTTCCCCAATATTTTTGTTATAAACTTTGATTTATTGCACCTTATTGTTTCAGATTTTAATGTAATTATTTGAAAATGTAAATCGAGTAGTCAAGCACCATATTAATAAAATTTTCTTTCAAAGAAATATTGCAGTGTTCGTGAAATTTTGTATAGAGGAAGAAGTGTTGGTACTTAGATTAAAAACACTGGAATGTTCAGAAGTCAAAACTAACATTTTTGGTTCTTAATGCTGGCTCTGGTTATTTCCCCTGTATTTGAGTTTCTTTCATATAAAAAGATGGTATATGTTTCAGCATTTTAAAGGATGATAATGCTGTTGTAAAATCTTGTTTTATAATCTGTTCCTTAAAGTTTAACCCACCAAAATTTAACACTAGAAGCAAAACTGAACAGAATTACTTCTCAAAAGTTTCATTTAATTTTGTTTGCTCAAACATTTAATTTGTTGCTGACAAACTTTTACCAGGTAATTATCTGTACTAGTATTCAAACCCAAATAGAATAATAATTGGCTTTGCAGCATAATGAAAGTAAACAGACCTGTAACACAAGCTCAGAGTTCAGATGTCCTAGGACAGCAAACTTTGATTTAACTGGCACTCTCAATAAACTGACATAATTATATCATGAAGCTCGCTTTGTTATTCTGTCTGTAGTGTTTCAATATATTTACTTCAATATAAATATACTTGTTTTAATTGAATGGCCACACAAAATATCAACAGCTGATTCAATTTTGCATCAATTTCTCTTCAATTATCATGATTTCCACAATGTCCACTTAGTCAGTTGACTTCGAGTGAGAAGGCTTTCTGCTGGTAAGTTTTATTTAAGGCAAAGTGTCATTATTATTTATGATTTATCCTGTAAATAAAGTATAACGGTGTGTGTACCCCTGCATTGCATTCTTATGTTGATTATGTGAACCTCTTGATTTCTTGGAATGTTTGATCAACTGGCACTCTCCTGGTCCCATAGATGTCGATTAATAAAAAGTTTGCTATACATGCAAATAAATCATTTGGAGCCTGAGCTTGTCTTGCAGCTTTATAATGCAGTAGTGCAATTGTAATTTCCTTCGACAAGTACACACTGTTTGGTCACAGGCAGATGCATTGCACTAATTTTCAGTTTACCTTAAAGTGTTTGAAGAAAGCATGGGGTTTGCCATATTCTCTTGGAATTAGGTTAGAGTTTCCCACTCTATCTAAACTCAGGAGTAAAGAGGCTTCACCATTCTCTTGGCCTAAATTTTAATTCCAACAGCAGAGAATTTAGGAACTTGGTACTTTAGAGTTTTTACGTGTATGTTTTATAAATTTATAAATGACAGATTGTACGTGAAGACATGCATATTGGTTTTCTCACTTCAATATTTTTGACATTTGACTAATGCTGGCAAATGTTTCCTTTTGGGTTCTTTCACACAGAAACATCACTAAACTCTATTTTGTGTGTCAGATCCATTGATGTCTTTTTAGCGAGTAACTCCTATTCTCATTTCATCTAATTTTTAAAATTTCTATTATTTGACAAATCTAATATAGCAATCCTAAATTCTTGAAATAGTGTACAGTTTAGTTTCTCCTTGGAGCATTATTCTTGTTTCAGTATGCAATTTATCTTGTGTTCTCCAAGATCTATTTGTAAATTTGGCTAAAATTTTCAATTTTGTTCCTGGTTGTGCATTATTCCAAAACAACTTGAAGCAGTGAAGTGAAAAAGACTTAGAATGTTAATGCTCTGTATGGTGCTTTGACATCCACAGCCTGAAGTAGGTGGAACTATCAGAAAATATTGTTTTCTATCTTGGAAGCAAATTGCTTTGTATACTTGGAAAGCACCTGGCAGGCTTTCATTCTTTGTTATTGCCAAGACAAGAACCTGTGTGGAGAAAATTTGAGCATCGTTACATTATTTGCTTGGTTGTTGATTCGAACTGTCTTTTGTTTAATCACATCCTTGCCTTGCTAGTTTTGGGTGTACGCATTTGTAAATGTCTGATTATTTCTAATATTGCTTAAATTTCTATAAAATGTTCTTTGTTTTCCAGGGAAACATTTTCAATTGATTTATGTTCAGGAAAGCAATGCACTCAGGGAATTGAGACACTATACAACTGCATGATTTGAAGAAGGGAATTTTTAAAATATGAAGGGAGATGTGAAAGCAGAGGAAACTTGACTGAGTTTCCAAGGGCATAGTAGATGGGGAGAGGAATCAGGAGGCAAACAAGTCTCCTGAAAGGGGGAGCAGAGGATGTATACAGGGTCATAAGTTTGAAGGCAATTACTACGGTAGGTTGGCATGTGGCCGTGAAAAATCAAATTCAAGAATTTTGACTATAATTGGAGCTTGGAGAGGGTGAGCATGCTATGTCAGTAGAACTTCGAGTGTAAATATATTAAAAAGCTGCAGAGCCAAAGTAGTGATTTGTGAACAGTTGTAATAAGCAGGCTAGCTAGAGGAATGAAGAAGTTGTACCCAAAATGTGATGAGAAACTTCAGAGTGGAAGAAAGCAGTCATGGTAAAAGAGCCGATGTAGGAGAGAAAACTAAAGGTTCAGCATCTCCCGGTTGCATTGGCAGTCAGTTTGATAGCATCAAGGCTAATTGATTTTTAACCCCAAGTTGTAGCAAAGTTAAGTTCAGTCAATTTTCAATTGTAGTTTTCTTCCTGTAAATTGAAGGCAAAAGTAGAGTTAACTTGTGTGGAAGCTGGACTTGATTCCAAATTGAATCACAAATTTGGAAAGAAAAGGCCAGGGTTGAATTCCTGAACCACGTAGGTGCGGGGACAGGGGTGAAGTTATGTAATATCTGTTGTACGAGGAGCCAGGAGAGAAAATTGCAGAAGAGCATGGAAGAGTTAATGATGATGAAAGTAGAAGAGACATGAGGACTGAATGCCTTTGTCACATGGGATAATATTTGTGATTTTGACTAGCGGACCTCCATAATTTGTGACGCCAAAGCAAATTGGAGAAGCAAGAACTGAGGGTTGTTGCAAAGCACCTAGGACTAATTTTGTCATTGGCAATAAACAAATGGTATTGAATATTTATTATGCTTGTACCTGGCCACAGGTGTTTTGTGGACCATTGGAGGAACAGGATGCAGTTTTTTTTTCTTTATTCATTCACAGGATGTGGGCATTACCGGCCAGGCAGCATTTATTGCCCATCCCTAATTGCCCAGAGAGCAGTTAAGAGAACCACCTTTTTGTGGGTCGGCAGTCACATTAGACCAGACCAGGTAAGGATGACAAATCCTTTAGGGAAGGAAACTTACAGAACTAGAGGGGTTTTTCCAACAATCAGCAATAGATTCATGGTCATTATTAGATTCTTAATTCTGGATATTTATTGAATTCAAATTTCACTGTCTGCTGTGATGGGATTCGAACCCAGGTCCCCAGAACATTATCTAGGTCTCTGAGTTAACAGTCCAGTAATAATACCACTAGCCCATCACCACCCCTGTCATTTCAACACAATGCTCTTCAAAAGTAATCTGGGACCTGTGTAAATAGGCTAGCAACAGCATGTTTGTCACATTGAAAAATCCTGACTGGAGATGTGCAAAACTTAAACCTAGAAATGTAAGTTAGAATATTCAATTCAACATAAAATCAGTTCAAAGAAGATCAAAATGAGGTGAAAGAAATGGAAAAAATGGAATTGAGATAAAATAAAAACTATCTTGGTCAGGCAATGGATAGATCAGCTAGTTGCACTGCAAATTGGTTCAAGGTTGTGTATTGCAAAGAGGGAAGGGTCTTAACAAAATAGTTTGTATAAATGTTTCCTTTTCATCCAATGGTGAAATGAAAATGTGTTTTGAAGTTGCATCACTACATTGCTTTCAGTTATTTTCTTTCATGGTTCCCCTTTACTCCATTAAGAATTCTTTCAATTATTTAGCTCCCCACATTTTTAAAGCCATCTTCCAGTTGATGTCTTTCTTAATTTGGTTAAATTTCTTAATCTTGCCAGCAACAATCTTTGCGCCAGCAAGACAAGGGCAAGAACTGTCCAGGAATTCTGTAAGTTGGATGGTTTTCCGTGCAAGATCCTGGTCATCACATGGACAGAAAGCATCACCAGCAAAGATGTACTACAGAGGACTGATAAAGGGATAGTGTCGAACATTCTAATGGAAAATTACTGCTAAGAAGATAAATCCTCTTCCAAGTGGGCACCTACCCCACAAGAGAGTCAGTAATGCCGGGTGGAAGAAGAAGGTGGACCCCCAAGAATGGAGGTTAACTACCTTGGCTGAAGCAAAAGAGAACTTGAACTGGGGTCAGTAGTGGAGTCTTGCTGCTCTGTTCTGCGAGTGAGACTAATCTAAGTCAGAAACTGTTAGTTTCCTATCCAGAGACTGATAAACTGCAGTATTGTATATACACACAAATTAGGTGGCACCTATTGAGTTCAGTTCATTTCATGACAGCTATTTTTCTTTAGATTTGATAAGCCAACCGTATATTATGTTCGAGGGCTTGGTCTTGGTTCACTGCATATTTTTATTCTAGATGAAGTTCCCAACAAATTACAAGCTGCCCTTGTTTACTTTGCTGCTGCTAGGTTTTTACACACTGTTTAACACAAATGAGAACTCTAGCACCTGTCTGTGTTCTCATGGAAGTGGTTCCATATTTTATTTTAGTTTTTACTTTTCACACTGCTTCTGTCATGGGCTTTTTGGTCACAAATACAAAGTATCACAATCGCTTGGCCATTATTTCGTTCAAGCGGTGGACAATTCTCCCCATTCATTCCTCTGTTCCTTTCTGTCTCTGACCAGGTAAAGTGTATCTTTGGGGTTGCCAACCCTGATTTGGATATTTTATTAAGCGTGCTAGTTGTCCTTTCTTTCGTCCCTACCATTGGGTACCCAACGTATTTGTGCACACATCCTTCCCAAACCAATTGCAAAGCTCTTAATGGCTCAGATCAATGATTTTTCACTATCCCTTTATCCCCACCTTGAATATTTTTCAAATTAACAAATGAATGTCAAAAGAAAGTGAAAAGAAGCACTATTTTGATGTTCCTATGTTTTTTTTCTTCTTCATGAGTTGCTCACAGCGTTTTGGAGACTTCCAGGGATTGCGAATTC